CTTTCTGTAATAAGTATTTCCATGTTTCATTTCTCCTAATTTAGTCCAAGCATCAGTAAACACAGTATTTGGGTAGGTGGTGGGTGTGTTTTAACAGGACAGTAGATTAAACATTACTTATGACACCTTTAGGGCCCCAGAAGTGCTCTGGCTGAAGCGCTGGACTAGTCATCAAGGGGTCAGCACTTCAAAAATGTCCTGTCGGGCAAGCATTAGACTACTAGCTAAGGCCAGTGGCTTATACCCACCAGTCCTTCTTTGGGAGAAAGATGAAGGTATTTGCTCCCGTAAAAACTAACAGGCTTGGAAACCCTGATGCAGCAGTTCTACCCTGTCCTCTAGGACTGCCAAGCGTCGGAGTCAACCCAAAGGCATTGGATTTGGTTTGAGTTTAGGGTTACTGTTCATTGCAATCCCCAGAAAGCCCTAAATGTACATGTTGGGCATTACTGTTAAGTCTTACTTAAAAAAAATTTTTTTTAAGACTGAATTTGGAGTTAGAAATCAAAAGTCAAGCAGTTCTAAGAGGGAGAATCCAGCATGTGGCACACCCAGTCCCATGGTTCAGGCCACCAATACCACCAAGCAAATTCTGGAACATACAAGATACACTGACTCTTAGATAAAGGCCAAATCTAAAAAGGCACATATCGTATATACTCGAGGATAAGTCAACCCGAATATCAGTCAAGGCACCTAATTTTACCACAAAAAGTGCATTAAAAATGTGCTGAAAAGCTCAGCTTACACACGAGTATATACGTGTGTAATCTGATTACATCAAGGTTACCATATACCCAACATGATCATCTCAAAATGTTACATGAAAAACAATATTTCATATCCTGGTGTAGCAGTCACATAATCTGTCAACTTGAGCAAAGGGGTTGAGTGTAGGCTGTCAATCTCTTTGAAGGCCTTCATATAGCAGATAATTGTTGATGTTAACTGTTACTTAAAATTGTTTTAAATTACTTTAGATTAAACTATTTAATTTTCTAAAATCTTAAGCCGTATAAATGATGAACACAATTCTATATTCCTCTCATTCTCATGAAAAACGTGGTAAGGAAGACTCCATCCCTCTGCGACCGGCTTCCCTGTGGGAAGCGTCAAATTCTACTCCGAACTATGAGCCCCTTCTCTCCTGTACACGCAGCAACAGCCTGCATTCTAGATTCTGCCACCAGTAATACAAAATAAATTTTGATTAATTCATTCCAATTCTCAACTGCTTCTGAATTCAGCACAAGAACACATGGTATGTATCAACAGTCCTGGAAACCTACGATCAAGGTGGCTGTGATTTGGAATCGACTCAACGGAGGTCAGTTTGGGTCAGCTAAGTTAGCCTCTTATCATGGAATGTCATTTTTACTTGCAGAACCACTACTATCAAACTATTTCTTCAAACCTGGGAACTGGCAGGCGTTTTCCTCAAAAAACAAATAAAATCAATCTGTTACTTAGAAAAACTCATAGCCATGATAATATTTGTACTTTCAAGCAAAAATTTAAATTTTGGAAATATCTATTTGCCCCTTACCAATATTTCTCAAATAAAAACAGTGATACTAATAAGCTGATTTTGAATATTATATGCCAATAAGAGAGCACAGTATAACTCAGTGAACCAATATACTCCAATGACCAGTGCATAATATTTAATAACCAGAGTGTACCAAGTAACTTCAATGTAACAAAACACTGACTGATCCATGTTTTGTACACTGGGCTCACACTTAGTAGCCTCACTTAAGTGAAAGGTTAAAGTATACCTCACTCTCTGTTCACACTACTTATATGTGTAATAAGATCTTTTCTTCAATCACTTCAACTAAAACACATCACAATATATAAAGAAGCAGATAAGAATCTTGTATTATACTCAGACATTAAAGTGATTTGCAAAAATTTAGAATATTATTGTTTGTTTTGGAAAATATCCTGTTTAAATAGAAATGTTAAGCATGTTAAACATATTGAGTTTATTTGAAATAAGTTAACAAATTCTTGTTTTGAAGATTTCTTAAGTTTTATTGCATATTTCTATTTTTGAGCTTCTGAGATTTTTTTAAACCACCTTGTTGCAGTGATTTCTACATCTGCTCAACTTTTGGGTGCATTTGGATTGTTTCAGTTACAACCACAATTACACTGTATGTTAATAACACTGTTAATATATATAAATAAAGCAAAGCTTACAGAACTAAAAGGAAAAACAGAAAAGGTACTATGCAATTTTAGCATACCTCTCAGTACACTTCTCTCAGTATACTTCCAGATTTAACAAGGGGGGTGGGGTGGGCGAGTAAGCACAAAGGATGTGAACAACATACCATATATACTCAAGTATAAACCAAGTTTTTCAGCACATTTTTAATGCAGTTTTGTGGTAAAATTAGGTGCCTTGACTGATATTCGTGTTGGCTTATACTCGAGTATATACGGTAATCAGCAAATGATCTAACTGACATATAAGACCACATTCAACAAAGTTAAATATAATCATTTATATCATGCCAAACCATAAAATAAGTCTCAAATTTTAAAGTACTGAAATTGGAGTTTCCTTCCACACTAGAACCAAATTAAATTAAGCCCAAGAATGATAACAAAAAGCAGGCTTGCTTCTACTTACTACAAAAAAAAAAAAAAAAAAGGAGCTTTCTCAAGCTTGCTATTCCTGTGCTGTCCCACTACACGTGCAGGCCTTCGTCAGGGCGGCCCTCCGTTGTCCTGAGGCTTTGGAGACGGGCAGGGAAAACTGCTGTACGACACAGAGCTGAGCTAATGCTTTGGACATGCGTAATAAAGTACTTTGTCTCAGCCCAAGAAGTCTCAGGTCTTTGGCCAACATTCATGAAAACAGTAACAGGCTAACTTAATACCCAGCCACTCTGTAAGGCAGTTTGGCAGTTTCTTACAAACCTAAACAGAGTCTTGCCATGACCCAGTAATTGTGCTCCTAGGTATTTATCCAAATGAATCAAAACCTTATGTCTACCAAAAACTTGCCCACAAATGTTTGTAGTAGCTTTATCCATAATTGCCAAAAACTACAAGCAACCGAGATACCCTTCAAAAGGCGAATGGATATACAAACTCGCACATCCATACAATGATGTACTTACTATTCGGTGATAAAAAAAAACACAACAAACACAGAGGAACCTTCAAGGTATATAACTAAATTTAAAAGGCCAGTCTGAAAAGACTCCGTTATCATATGCTCCCAACTATATGACAATTCTAGGTGAGGCAAAATTATAAAGAGCGCAAAAAGATCAGTAGTTATCAGATAAAGAATGAATAGGGGATGCATGGGATTGTTACTCATAGAACTTGAAAGTATTTTGTATGATAATGTGATGATGGGTACATGACATCACGCATTTGTCAAAAGGCACAGCACAGTAAATAAAATACAGCATTAAAATAAATAAGTAAAATACAGGGTGAGCCTTAATGTAAACTATGGACTTTCATGAATAACAGTGTCTCAATGTCGGCTCACTGGTGACACATCAGCAGAGATATCGTTAAATGTACCACACTGACACAGGATATCAAATACACTAGGGAACATCACGGAGGGGTACATACGGAACTCTGTACTCTGCTCAATGTTTTGAAAACCTATATCTGCTCTAGAAAATAATCCATTTTTCAGAAGAAGAAAATGGTAGCAAATCCTAGACTACAGTGAATGAGCATGCCAAACTGACTCTCCTCTACAGTGGACAGTCTCATACTTTTTAAATACCGCATGTACTCGAGCATAAGCCGACATGATTATCAGCCGTGGCACCTAATTTTACCACAAAACCTGCCAAAAAAAAATGTGCTGGAAAATTCAGCTTATACACAAGTATATATGGTATTTTTTCATTTGAGAAAATACCTCGCTGTCGTTTTAATTTTCATCTTTTAAAAAACTGGACATGATTTTCATATATTATCCTTGTCCTCTAGTGTTTCTTTAGTGAATCATTTATATCCTTTAATCCGTTTTTTCTACTAACACTTGGCACTTCATAATGAACTTGTAAGGATGCTTATACACTCTCACTGCCATGACTCCTAAGACCCCCTGTGGGCTTCCCAGATTGTAACTGATTATGGAGTAGAAAGCCCAGCCTGTCTCCTGAGGAGCTGCTGTTGCTGCTGCTGCTGGTGTCAAACTGCTGACCAGGCTGATCACAGCCCAATGCGTAACCACTGCCACACCAGGGTTTTAATATGAATGCACTGTCTACCTTTTGGATCACACAGTTTTTCTGAGTTTTTCTAAATTTTAACTTTCTCTTAATTTTCTGACATTGTCAGCAAATAAAAACTTTGATTGCTTTCACATCAAAATGGAAATTTCTATAGTTTCATTTTGTTTATGGTTTTTAATTTTAGGTTCATCCCCTTTAACCATGAGGGTTACTTTGATGTGGGGTACAAAGCAAGAAAATGACTCCCACTTGTCCCCACAAATACTTGAGCAACTATGGAAGGGTATTTGTTTCTTTTATAAGTGACTGCTTTTACTTGATGTACACAATATGTAACACTAATTGAAAAAATATGTGAAATAACTTACACTTTTCCTACAACCTGCATAAGTCTATAAATATACATATGTAAAGATATCTTTGCTATCCAGATGTTAATAAGAATGGCCCAAAATAACTTTGAGCATGGTAACGGATATACTGTAGTGCTATTAAACAGTAAGATTTAAAGGTACTGGTATAGAAAGATGACTATAGAGTACTGTGGAAGAATAAAGCACATTAAGATCAAGAACCAACCAGAAAAAAATATTTATGAAATTAGTCCATTGCATGTCTACTAAAGTGTACTCAGAGACCGATGTTGCAATTAAAAACATTACAGTGTTGTTCAGTATCCTCCTGCCTTGTTATTTATTTTGGTTGCTATACATGCTTTGTCTGCGTGGTTTATAAGCGAACTGATTCAGACTTTGCTCGCACTGTTGTTTGGGGTTTTGGGGCAGAACTGTTCCTGCAAGTACCGCAGTATCTGGGCAATGCGGTGGAGAGGACATGCAAGCGCCCAGTCCATCTCCTAGCTGCAAAAATAAATTTAATATACTGTCCTCCAATAGAGGACGTATCAGATATTAAACTGATAAGAACAGATAATATACTTGACCTCAGCCAAAAGGCCGAGAAACGCTATCTGCTCCTGGCTTTTTGCCTACTAATACTCATTAAAACACAGTACATTACATGCATGTCAAACACCGTATGAACCTCATTCGCCAGCACATTTGCTGGTACCAATATACTACAATTTCCAACATATACCATTGTATTTACATGAATATCTGCAATATTTTAAACACCATCAAATACAGTAAGTTCAGAAAACAAAATACAAATATAACATTAATCTTGCTTTTCATATTTCTTTATATTAGAACATTATTGAAACCCACTTATATATAAAAGCTACAAAGCCATATCATAACTATGAAATTTGGCCAGTATCCCAGAACACATGATTCACTCTTGTGTGTTTGCCACTGAAGATGTCTTTAAATAGCTAAACCATATCGTGGCATGTGATAAGTCAGGCAAATATAATGCTTAAATATGGATGTCCTTGAACTATTATTCATCTCCTTAAATGGCACATCCAAAAACATTCTCTCATGAAAAAAGAGCTACCAAAAACTAGGGACAGAGAAGTGTGCACATTACAAATAAAGCTAGTCTTATTCCTTGACAGGGAAACCGTATTAGTCTGGGTACATCAGAGGAACAAATCCACAGAAACTCGTGTATGAGAGTTTTATATAAAGGTTAAGTGCACCTCAAGAAAATATCCCAACCCAGTGCAGCCCAAGCCCACAAGTCCAACATTTACCCATTAACCATATGTCTGATACCAATCCACAAGTCCTCCTGCATCTCACAAAACACACACTATGAGGCCAACTGCAGGAGGAAAGCCGAGTCAGTGAATGTGTAAGCATCTCAGCACTGGCAGGGGTCTCCACATGGCTGCTCCAGCACCCCAGGCTGCATTGGGGTAGGTCCATGCATCTTCTCCTTGAGGATGTCTTGCAAGAAGTGAGCCTTGCCAGCTGAAGCAGGGAACTGGCTAAGGCAGCTGCACCCTGATCCGACCATCACAAAGCAAGAGACCCAAGAACTAGAAAGGCAAGGCTCACTGAGCCAGTATCTCTCCGCCCTTCAATTAATCCCACGTGTTTATCAGCCAGTTTGGCACAATAGACTAACTACCTCAAAAACATATAACCAAAATTGAAATTTCATCTTATTACTATTTCATGCATACTTTTTAAAAATCATTTTATTGGGGACTCATACAATTCTTATCATAATCCACACTTACATCCATTGTGTAATCACATTTGTACATTTGTTGCCATCATCATTCTCAAAACATTTGCTTTCTACTTGAGCCCTTGGTATCAGCTC